CCAGTCCACCACAATTAGGAATATCATTGGTGATAATAAGCACCCTTGTCTGACTCCTGTGTGTACTCCGAACGCCTCGCTGAGTTTTCCGTTGTGGATCACTTGACATGTGCCGTTGTCGTACAGCTGTTGAATAAGGTTGATGAATATTTGGGGTACGCCGTAGTACTTGAGTAGTTTCCAAATTACTTCGCGGTCAACGCTGTCGAAGGCCTTCTCTGTGATTTAGTGTGTGATCAATTCAGCGTCCTTTACCTCACCTTGGTCTATGTCTGATCACCAGTCAATCAGGATAGATATTTCCAACCAATAAGAACAATGCATTACCATGGTTGTGAGCTGACTTTATTATGGTTAAGAAAATGTATAAATAGCATGCGTTGTTTCTTAAACTATGTAGTATGTTATGTAATACAATATCTTACAGTCACACACCAGTCATTGTATTTTGATATTTGCGTGGCCCAGTGAATCGGAAGTTACAACGGACAAATAGATGTATTAGCGTACCAGTCGAGCTCACTACCGTTATAGTATATAACAGGCACAGACATGACAAAGTAGAGACGTATTTATTCAGTTCAGTTCAGTCATAACAAATTGGCAACGCAGTGATAGCAGTGTTTGAAATTCTACGTCTCAGAGGTTCATTTTCGTTTGCCAGCATCACATCTCAGCACGTGGTTTAAACAGCACACAATATCAACAATACCAAACAGTCAATTTCACCTTCAAGCATAAATCCGACCTAAACAAACTGGTTGACTCTCACGAGGTGTGCAACATAGATGGCACTGAAATAGAAACCAAGTCGGAAATTAAATACCTAGGCGTCATTCTATCTGCTGATCTCTCCTGGTCGTCTCATATCTTGGCGATTTCTAAGAAAATATTCCGTCTTACCTTCTACATCAAGAAGTTAAAACATTCTGGTATTACCCAACCCTTACTCCTACAATTCGTTAATTCTCGCATCCTGCCTATTATTCTCTATTGTTCCCCCTTAGTTTTTCCCGGCCTACTGAAGAAAGACTATAACATATTACGCAGGATGTTAAATGTTGTTAGCAGGGTAAGCAACGTGCCACTTAACCAGCTTGCTAATACTCTGGTTGACAGGCACATGGACTCATGTGAAAAATGGGCCAAGTCCATTTTATCTAACTCACACCACCCTCTTCACTCACAACTCTCCCCTTGCATCTCATCAGGCAAAACCAGAAGCCTATATAGAAAACTATATGCTCGCACCAGCAAGTACAAAAACTCAACCATACCCTACTTAGCTCGTGTTCTGTGCGATAAAGAAAGCATTAGGCGTGACACCTATAATTCATTAAATAGTCAGTAGTACAACTGGACCTCGTCTTTCCAACTCATATCATTTATAGGTACAACATTTTCTTTCTTTCTTTTCCTTTTCTCTCTCTTTTTTTCCGTTATGTGCTGCTTTGTTTCTTTCTCTCGCTTACGCCAGTAAATATGATAGCACCTACTTTTCTAACACCTTCAAACACTGTTTCAACTTTGGCTTTGCTACCGACATGCCAATATGTTGTTGTCATAATGAACTGAGATTTCCTTAATCTATGTAGAATTCTATTTATTGATAATGTACTAACTGGATGCAATACTATAGTAAAAAGTGCTGAGAATTCCATTCTGTATCACAAGTACTGTTTTGGAATAAAGCAAATTATTATTATTATTATGAAGAGAACATAGTAATTTGATGTACGGTGGGGAACAGCCACATGACTCCATGAATACGTCAAATACCTTGACTGGTCGCCTCTCTAAGGGTAAAGCTTGTGTTGTCTCCACAAAATGAGACTGCTTATAGCTTGTTGCTGACTACATAAGCAGCAATTGTTTGAACTCAACTCATCGAATTAATACCTGGTAGTAATACTGGTTGTATTAGTAGTATTCAGTCCGTATCGTAGTCAGAGTCAATCCAGAATATCGAAGCTGTGAAATCTCAATTACTAAATTCTACTAATGTAAAATGTCAATGAGGAATTCTAGCTATAGCAAGCGATGCAGTCAGACACAAGCATGAAGTATGATGGAATAAAGTGATATTCCCGAAATATTGTATACCAGTGCCCAAGTTTTACACATATATTAATATTGTATACCAGGTTATAGACCAAAGGAGAGTGAGATTTGTCATTCCTAATCAGTTTTATTTTGCAACATGAAATTACATGTTATCAGATTCCACACAATTTTAACTAACATCTTCATTTTTATTCTCTTCGTCTACTAATCCCATAATCTCACACTTATTCCAAATTCTATGCATCCTGTCAATTGCCCTAAATATGACAATAACTGTTTTGCCACTCAACACTGAACTGTGGTAATGACATCACAAGTATTTGAATTTGAATGGCATTTCATATCACCATTATTATTATTATTATTATTATGTCATGTGTCCACACGTATGATTGAATTCCCTCATCAGATATAATCTCTTGAGAAGCCAATCATATACCATTGTACAGCTTGATAACAAATTCATTGTTGAAAAGAGTCTCTCCGTTGAACCACTTGCTTTCAGTTTTACTTTAAGCGAATGAATGCACCATAAACGGTATTCAGGTAGATGAGAACTGATTGTTATAATCGGAGGCTGGATTTCATGAGGAGTTGACAATCATTTAACCGACATGAAGAAGCATGACGCAGTGCATGTGTGTTTGAAACTGTTTGATAGTAAACAGTCATAATCAGACCATGGGTTGAACGCAGTATCCTTCGGTTACCTGGTGAGCGTGTAACATTTCTTTCTCTAGACACTCTTGAACTACGACGGAATAGCTGTCCAGATCAACCTGACGTTTAGCGGTTCTATTATGTTCAGTTGGTTAATATCAAAATCGAAATTGAAATGAGTATGGAAATCCTCACCGAAGTTGATTGAATGTTTTGTCATGATTCCTCTGGTGTTCTCTAGATTGTCTTGGATGAGGCAGTCAGTTTATGGTAAATGAGACAATTTTTTGTGTCTTGTTGTTTAGTCTGTCTGTTTGTTTGTTGTTAGATGGAATATTAAATATGATTGCTTTGTATGTGTGAAGTGCGTGTAGATTCGTCGAGAGGTCTGATTTAGTGGTTTAGTGCAGCAGCCTGGAATGGCATAGGTTCAAATTACATCCGCATCATGTGACTTCAACGCACACCGAAAGAATTATTGCAAAGTGAAGATAATTCTACCTCAGAGAATATGCTGCCATCTCTTTTGCATTACTGCAGCTATTCGCATTCAGTTAGAGAAACCTGAGCTATGCATATAAAAGGAAATTATTAATAAACCACTCCTATTATCATGGCAATAATCTTATTGCTTCCTACCCAAATGATTTTCGTTTTTGCTTGTTTGTTTACTTTTCGAACTCTTGTATTCTTTACAACTCGCCCTCGTAATAATTGCATATTTTCCTTCCATTCTTTGTGCATAGTGGTCACGGTTCATCCATTAAATTATTCATCTTGATACGTAACTCAAATTCACTTAATCAACTACTCTTTTCATCGACTTTGAAAAGGCCTTTGACAGCGTCGATCGAGAGGTGATTTGGAAACTACTACGCTATTATGGGGTGCCACCGACAATTATACACCTCATCCAACAGCTGTTCGACAATGCTGCATTCCAAGTAATCCACAACGGGAAACTTACGGAATCCTTCGAAGTGAGGACAGGAGTAATACACGCTGGCTGCCTACTACCGACAATGATTTTCCTGATTGCAGTAGACTGGATAATGTGACAGACAACGGGCTGCGTGGAAACAGGCATAAAATGGACCCACACAAAAATCTTGGAAGATCTGGACTTCGCCGTGGATATATGTCTGATTTCCCACAAACTGGAAGATATGTAAGCGAAAAGCAACAAGTTGGCAGAAGAAGCATCAAAGATAGGAGGGACTTCAGGCGAACATAGAGAAAACAGGGGTGGTGAAGATTCCTGGCCAACAGCAGCAGCAACAGACAACAGTCAGCATAAATGGGAGAAATTTGAGAGAAGCAACCTCCTTCACCTACCGACCTTGGAAGCATCGTTTCAACTACAGGCGGACGGAACTGACGAGGATATAGAAGTAGAGCAAGCTTTCATTACTCTCAAGTCTGTGTGGAGGTCAACAGCACTACTCAGCATGAAAAAATAACATCCGGATTTTCAACTCCAATGTGAAGTCAATGTAACTTTATGGATCAGAGACTTGGCGCGTCATGAAGAGCACCTCAAACAAACTACAAACCTTCATCAACATCTGTCTTCGCTCAGTACTCCAGATCAGATGGCTAGGAAAGATTAGCAACAGGGATCTCTGGGAGCAAACCAATCAGGAACCGATTGTGCAACAAATCTGCAAGTGGAAATGGAGATGGATTGGCCATATTCTGAGAAAAGCATCAAGTGATATCACACACCAAGCTTTTGTTTGAGTGGAACTCGAAAGGGAAGCGGCAAGTTGGTCGTCAGTGCGAGGGTGACATGGAGGAGGTGATGTGAAGAGGAGATGAAAGAATGTGGGCAGACGTCTAGTCAGGTGAAAACATTGGCAGAGAACCTAACGCAATGGAGACGTGCAGCTGAAGACCTATGTTCCTCTAGGAATTAAAGGAAACAATAATAATAATCAACTACTCTTATGCATTGACCACTAATATCAACAACTGTGATTGTGACAATTCATCACTTCTGTTACTACCCCTCTTTCATCAAATCAAAACTGAACATAAATGCAATTGTGTATAGATTAAGGTGGGAATGAATTCACCGAGAACAGCCTTTTCACCGAACTATTTGTGTTTCGTTTCCATTGACATGTCTAGATGGGGATTATTCGCGAATATCAGCAACATCGAATTTGCCACCATATCCTCAATACAATGGGGATGTTTGATTCTTCCTGCTTTTCAACAGTTCCATATTGTAAATGTCTGTTCGTGACAGAAGCAAACTCAACATGTACGACACACTCCGCACTGAGTTCAATCATTTACTTACTATCTCAATACACAAGAACAGTTCACATTTGTTATTAACACGAAAGGAGTTTAACGAATATACATTTATTGGAGAGAAACTAAAATCTACAGAAAGAAGAAGAAGAAGAACAATACTCAGTATTCAGTAAATGAAGCGTATTTTTCATCATTTTAATAACATCTAAGCAGAGCATTTAAAATAAACACAACTGAAACTATTTCTCAATTATACAATAAGTATGTGGCCTATATTTGCCATTTCCACTGCAGCTCGAGTAGCGTTTTGCACAGCCATACTCTAAGGTTCACTTCCTTCATAGTATTCCTTCACTTCGTCCATTTCCTGATGATTATGTCGGTTTCGTGCAAACCAACTTTTGCACAGCCTAGAGGGAGAGACAGTGAGAGAAAATGTGAAAATGAAGTCATGAATACTAGGAAGAATCAGTTATATTAACTACAGTGCTCAATTAACGATTTTATAATAGATGGTGGCATATTTCTAGAATCGAAAGCAGTTGTGTGACTGGTGGTAGTTATATTGTCTTTTCTAGTGGTGTTTATCCTGCACAGAAGTGATTAAATCTTTTACAATGTCATCTTCAACTAGAAGGAATTCTGGGAAAGGAACAACCGGAAACCTGTCGCCCAACATTCATGTCCAGCGAAATGGAAGTGGTTCCAGCACACGCTAAGGAGACCATCGAATGAAACCATGTACCAGGCCATCGCTCGAGGGGAATCTCAATGGGAAGTGATGAATTACTTGTCTGCCGGTGACATGAAGGATATCGTGTTTGTGTGTGGAGGAAATAAGAGCCAAAGAGCGGTCGTCGAACCAGCTGAATAGGACTTTGAAATTCAGTTAGTGATTCAAAAATTTGGTGAGTACTTTTCTGACATTTATCTCTTCATACAAAACCCGTGCTAAATATGGTATGGTTGAGTTTTTATATTAGCCGTCTACACGAGCATAATTTCTAACGAAATTTCTTCTGGTTCTACCGTCGTAGAGATAAAAGGAAAAGGTTGCGAATACTGAAGAGCATGTTCGGTGTCAGACGGGATAACTTTAGCCAACTGCTTGCAAGAATTGAAGTGCTTATTGACAATAATGCCAGTTAGCTAAGCCAAAGGCAGCACACCACTAACCCTCAATAAAGAATTCAGAGTTCTACGTAATATGACAGTCTGATTTTGAGAGGTCCAGAGAAGAATAAGTGTGGCGAACAATGAGGAAGAATGGGCAGGATACATGAATTAATAAAATGTAAGAGAAGAGGTTGAGTTAGACCTACAAAAAGGCTCGACTGCCTTGTGTAATAAGTCAAACGAAATATTTCCTTCAAAATCGACTAGATATGATACGACCAACAGAAATTCGGAGAGAAACTGATGCCGAGATGGGAGATATTCAATTCACTCTCTTTCACAGTGCCATCAATATTAAAAAGATCAGTCTGCGCGAGTCTTGTTCACATCTGAAACTAAAATCAACAAACTCTATGACATTTAGATGGATTTAGTTTAAGACCATTTTGAGTGAGACTATTTGTTAACTTCAGATAAGCATCTATTCATATAAGAGCAATGCAGTGCAGAAGCTACTGGGATGCAGGTCGTCAGATCATCGGTATATTCAGTGAAATTAGCCTTGGGGGAATACGGAAGATAATGCAAAAAGAAGATAAAAAATTAATTACAGCGCCTTGGGGAACACCAGTTTCCGTCAGCAACGAAGTGAATCGTTCTCAATTTAAAATAGTATTTTGTTTGCTAGCCAATATAACTACCTCTGCAGGAGCAAGTGAATTTATAAACACATGGCAATTAATGCTACCACTACTGCTCTTGTTAGTATTACTGTAGCCTATAGTATAGATTTTCCCATGGGAACCACATGAAGTAGGATGAAACTGAAAACAAACTGGTCGTTACATGTGACATCACAAGTGCGATACTGTCCAGACAACCCAACGTCGACACAATGAGGCGTAGGTTTTCTATGGAAGAAAAGGCTCTTTTGAAAATGCACGTAGTATTCGTGAGAATAAGGTATGAGTAATTATATCAACATTATCAAGTAATTTAGATGTAATCTTTATAATACAGCTCTAGAGCACACATAAGTCACTTATAAAAGAAGACTCACTGAGAACCCGAACGATATCCACTTCCAGTTATCAGCTCATCTTCGGTCGGCGGTTGCAAGGAAACTGTCCTTGTACAGTCATTATCTTGAATTGTTAGTGTGAGGTCATCACTCAAAGTAAAGTTCATCCCGTCGAAATTAACAGTCATTTGTTCTGAAAATAAAATAAACAAAAATACATTTTGTTGGTTTATGGGAAAGGTTTAAACTCTCTACACTTAGACTTAGTTCATGATTGAAGTGAAATAATAGTGATCTAATGATCAACTGAGTCCTGGAGTTCAACCGGTAGAGATCACGGCTGATAATTTGTAAGCCATTAATTCATATCTTACAGCAATATAGAATTTTGTTCCACCTTCAATCGTCACCCATTTTATGACAGCAGTAGTCTGTCAGTCCATGGCTATCCAATAAAAATTTAGACATCATACAAAGTAAAAGATGCCACTGGAAAATGTCATTCTTATCTCCAGTTTGATAGTACTGAAAAGAGATTAAATAGTCAGAAGTTATCCTGAATATAGACCAGTCAAACTGTTTGAGAGTGGAATAATGCAGGAACTTGTCTGGGATCTAAAGTAAGACCTTCGAGTGACGAGGCAGTCTCGTTGACCATCCAGCCACCTGGACAGGATATAATAACCGTTCAATTCTAAGTCCTTCCAATTCGCGGTAAATAGCGTAACTGCTAGCCAATATCATCGGTGAAGTTTAAAATAACTTAAGTAATCCTATAATTTCCCATCCCACTTCCGTTTGCGCTTTTAGTCGTTGAGACATTTCGACTGCGTTACATTTATGAGTGTGACAGTTAGCCACAGTTAACCAATCTAAAATTACTATTCATCTATACACATAGTGTATAATTATGTCTAATTTATTTTCATTCTTGTTTCTTCAATGAATTAAAATATCGCGTTTGAACACGGACTGATATCCGTTAGAGAAGCACTGAAAACCAGCAGGGAGTACTGAACAGCCAGCTGATGGAAGCACGTAAGAGTTCATGGGTGATTGATTCGGACCCCACTGGCTGAATGGTCTACGAGCTAGCTTGCCTTGTAACCGGTAGGTTCTAGGTTCGAGCCCCTGTGGTGGGTGCATACTTCTGAAGAGTCATTAGTGGAGGTTAAACAGCTGTCCAGCACTCTCTGCTTTTCCATGATCCTTTAAATCATGTCAGACTTGAAACAAATCAAGTCCTTACAAACTAACTCTTGAGAATCTAGGTATGTTAGAACCGTAAGGAACTATATACTTATGTAAGGCTTTTAGGGGTGAAATCATCGCAAAGAGAGCTTTGTTTGGCTTCATTTCCTTCCCTTCTTAATGTCCTGATGGTGAGTATTTTCTTCTATATACTTACATTATCCTGGTCGATAGGTTCATGATGCAATAAAGGAGTTCCCTTTTACCCCGATTAGTGTGCAGCAGAAGGAGTAATACTGCACGGCAATTCGCAGTATTACAGTGGATTCCTTTTACAAAGTCCACTCAACCAAGTGTGAGCCATTTGGATGCAAATGAAAAATAATAGCGCCCTTTTTATAGACTGTCTGAGTTATATTACTTTCAGTTCATAAGAGATACTAAGAGTTAAATGGTTGGTCAGTATGTGTAACACATAATTTAGCCAAATAACATTAATGCAAAGATTAGGTCATATGCTTTGTCCATTAAATGTAAACTGATAAAAGATAATACATCCTTACTTCAACTGTATACTACTAAAGATACAGAACAAAACGAGTCACCGATGAGACATTGCTGAAGTAAAATCTAATATCATCTGTATTGGCTCGACGGCCATGGGAGCTTAAACAAGACAGTAAGGTAGACATTCACAGAGAGATATTTTTCATTCTTACGCCGAAAACATGCAAACCACTTTTATTATTGTTCCCTTGGATTCCGACAGGAACATACATCTTCGACAGCCCATCTCCATTTTGTCCTATTTGTTGTTGTCCTCTTCAGAATGGCCCCACTATTGACCATAATATTTCATCTCCTCCGAAACACACGAGTTCGTCCATGTCACCCTCTCACACACGTCCAAATCTCCCTTTCCTTTCCGGGTTCCACTCTACCGATGGTCTGGCGCGCAATGCCATCCAAAGGCCTCCTCAACGAGTGTCCGAACCAGCCCCATTTCCCCCTTCATATTTCTTGACCAAAAGGGACTTCGTTGGTTGGTCCCCACAGTGTTTTGTTCGCCAATCGTTTCTGGACTACCATTTGATCTGTGGTAGGGAACCGGAGAAGCTAGGTGTTGATTAAAGTCTACAAATGGCTGTTCGAAATACTTTTCTTGACGCGTGCGCCAAGTTTCTTACTCATATAAAGAAGTGACTGACTGACTTACCATCGGTGTTCAAAATCCGAATGTTGTTCTCTGTGCTGGGATGGAGTGCAAACGATTTCCACACTGGTTTCAGAGTGATGAAGGTCTATTTCGCCTGTCCCAACCGCCTGTATTTGCAATGATGCTGCCTATGATCGGTGCTTGATGTCGTTAGTCCATTGGTTGTCTTCCTTACCTCCATCTTCAGTATGTTCACTTGAAGTCCTGTATTATCTGTCTACTTCTTTCGCCAGAGTTTTAGTTTCCGCCTGTAAGTCTTCGAGTTTGTGTGATATTAGACTTAAGTCATCCACGCGCGAATTCCACATCACTTAGAGTATTATTATTGGTCCAGTCTATTCCTGTCTTTTCGCTCTCCACCCCTTGCCTTACGCATAATCCAGTCCATCGCAATTAGGAATATCATGGTGATAGTAAGCAGGTAGTCTTGTCTCACTCCTGTGGTCACTTCAATCACAAGATTTCGCTGAGTCCTCAATTGTGGATCACGTGACACGTGGCATTATCATATAGCTGTTGAATAAGCAAACCACTATACCGAATGAAGGAAAACATCCACACATCGTTAGAATACCTAATATGGATCACGAAATAACATCAGTTAAGGGACCGTTGAAACAAAGAAATTACGGAACAATCACTTGGTCGTAGTCCAAGGCTCTTCAGTAGTATGCGCCCATCATACCATCAGGAATCCAACCAAAAACTTTCAGGTGACGAGATGATTTCACTGACTAGTCATTCATTAAGACGGAATCCAGTGGCTTATGAATTCTCACTTTCGCTAATTCGCAATACATAGCACCATCGTTATCCAATCTCAGCATCGGTGAGTATGTGTCTTCAAAGCGGTCACGAATTCTCACTGGAATTCCAGGTAACTTCATCCTGCAGTCAATCACCAGTAAGAAGTAGAAGGATTTTCAGGAAGTGATTTGTCGGAATACTTAGTTAGACTGATATCACATTTATTTCAGTCATTTACATATATAGAATAAATTTGAATTACCTGATCCATCAACTGTCATTTGAAGCATATACGTAGCTGATTCAATCTTCATAATATTGACTATGTACAAGCTGAGGAGTATGATGAGGTTTAATTTTGACCTTTGCGACACCATTTTACTAAAGAAAATATAACAAAAGGAAGAATTAGTGTCTTTTCATCTAATGTAATTTAAAATAAATGACAGAAAATGACTTTTTCCTTCCTTGGATTTCAAGCACAACTCCACTCCTTCTCTACGGTCCTCTTCAGAATGGCCTTACTAATACCGATAATCTCTCATCCCCTCCAAATCACACGATCATCTCCATATTATCGCTGGACACACGTCCCACTCGTCCTTTCCAAGTTGGTGTCCACTCAATAGCTTGGCACGCAAGTGACCTAATCAATATTAATCCATGTATAAAAAGTATTCGTGAATCTAAATTGTTGAATATTTCACAAGCTCGGTGGCACTTTGAAAAGAAGTATGTGGATTACTCGTCGGATGCTGGTCAACTTGACTTTACAGTAAGTGAAATTTGCAAGCCAATTTCTCACAGTTAGACGAGGTGAAATTTCAAACCGATTTCCTTTGAGAATCAAAAATATTCAGATCATAATATGCGATTCGGTTGATACGATAAATAGCAATCAAAAAAGCAAGCATATACGCATGACACCATACTACTGTTCGATTGAGATGAATAATTGTAAACCGCTCCTCTCATCAATCAGTAGGTCCTGTTAGCCAGACATATTGAAGTGATCTAGACATCGAACAGCCATTTCACTGGTTTGGGAACAAGTCCATCGTCTGTGTGTCCGGTCTAACTCAACACAGATTGTGGGGTCAACTCAAGCCATCCTGTATATATATATATATGTCTAGCAGGCTGACATTCTTAACTAAATCGGAAAAATTGACAAATCGTGCCTCGACAGCTTCTGCTTCACTACCCCAAGAATCTCAATCAGCCACTTCGCAACTGAGTGTTGTGAAGAATCTATCATATCTAGTATTGAGTAGAGTTGAACATCCTGTTCATACGAAGCCATATATCTTGCTGCCCACATACCCACACCCTCAGCCACATCGATGCTATCCGTTTCTCGACAAACTGAACCCGAACAGAGTATCTTGAACAGCGGCCGAAGTTCTTCATGAAATATCCTCAGATGAAAGAACACCACTAGAGAAGTATGCCGCTACTGTCAATGAAAAGAGAACTGATGATTTCACTAGGAAGTTAAATAAGAGTCTAAAGACAACAACTTAAACATGTGTCTTTAATCATTCCATTGCATCACTACTACCAACTCAAATACGAATCTTACCAACTGAGGACCTAAATGTTGAGATGCGACGTCAACTGTATTTGAGGTTTAATGCCTCGTTTCTTGACCAGATACACGAAAAGTCTAAATTTTGTAATTAATTGTCTAAAGTACACCAAAATCAGTTGAATAAATTAAGGAAGAACGAATATTCAGTGATGACACACTCGGCTGATGTCTCCCGAATAGCACTACCTAAAAGGTCCAGCAGACTACATTAAACAAACTCTCATGAATTTTCTACAATGTCAACGGAATTTGTGAAAGAGACTTGTCAACAAGGATCCCACAGTGAATAGACAGAGCTACGAACTGCAAAGATATCTACCAGGGAACTTTATAAACGACTTCATCTATCCGGTGCTAAAATTCCCCGCGCATGTACAGATTGCTTTAGGCATACAAACCTACTGTTCCACTCTGCCCAATGCTAGATATGACAAATTCTAAATTACGAAGTTGCTGGTCTACATGCTTAGACCAGTGAAGGACAGACTGTCTAGACACAATCTCTGCAACATTTATACATATCTGGTATTTTTTTGGTAACGAGAATGTGTATCTTTCTCAAACGTTAACTACATATTACATAACATGTCAAATGAATAATTATAGCACTGGAACTTACCCACAATATAGACTAAATAGATGCTAACTAGCTTATCTCGCATAAAATATTTTGTTGGACTATTTATACCACTAACACACTACACTATTTCATTCAATGATTAATTCCATTAGCCAATCAGAAATTGACTCGATATGATTATTTATGTTTTTGTGTGATTAACCATCGTTCAGTTATAAAGCCGGATGTGTATGTAGGTGAATTGAAATTCTCTGCACGAGCGTCAACATTCATTTAAGTGGATTAGAAAAAAAAGGCTTAAAACAAAACAGTCATGATTTTTAGAAACAAAATGTCAATTTAAGATCACTGATCACATTACTATTTTTACCTGGTCAGATATGTTAAACGTGATGAAATCTGTTATACACAGGCATGTGCATTATTTCACATAAATAAAATATTACAAGAAGTAATTTGTTGGATGGTAACTAGCCGTGGAATCCACGATGCGCTTGATGTCAGTTGCACGAAAGTTGGTGGCTGTCGTGGCCTGAGTGTTCTGGGGGATAACGCTTTGACGTTTGGTAGGATAGGTACTGATTTCGAGTCTCAGTGGGGACACCACCACACTGTTAAATCCGAACGATGAGTCCCAAGTAGGGCGAAATGCGCATCGTGGATTCGATTGCAATGCTAGTCAGCATCCATCAGAATTACTTCATGTTCATCGCCAGACATCGTCGTAGCATCTGTACTGGAAGGTGCCAACAAATCAACACAGGCCGAACATCTCACTCCAGTCAAATGATGGGAAAATCAAAATTGATTTTAGTTAGAGAAGCATTGAAAACCAACGGGGAGTAGTGGGCAGCTGTTTTGTCATAGTTTGGGGCTCACCGGCAGTACGCAGCCTCTGAGTGAGGTAGAAGTTAGAATTCATGGGCAGTGGGATATTGAGTCGAATCCCGCTAGCTGAATGGTCTAAGAGCAAGCATTCCTCGTAATCGGAAGGCTCTAGTTTCGAACCCCTTTCCTGTACTCCCTAGTGGTTTACAACTGTCCCCTATCTGATATGAATCCATGATCAAATGTGAAAACGATCAATTCCCAATAAATAAACTCTTATTAAAAAAAATTCAAATTTCAGTTAAACACATGTGAATATTACAAGGGTATTCCTTTTGTTGTATTCACATGACAATGAAAGTGACGAAATTAAATCCTACGTACAAATTTTCGGTTTTCTTTCCTTCCAAAATGGTGTATCGTAGTCTCATTTGTAGGTTAGTGTGCCTCCAATTAATGTATTGTGCCAGTGTGCTTCTTGTTTAGCCATTGCGTCAAATGACAGGCAGTGTACAGTCTGAAAATTTGGGACAGTATTTGAATATTACGACAGTTAGCCAACCATGGTTGTTTGAATCCTGCCACTTCCTAGCAGTCAGACAACATATCCATTGCAGTCCTACAGGAGGTGAATCGTGAGCACAAATAGATAAGTGGTAACGTCTCTGACTGCAGCACTGGTTGACGTGGTTACATACCCCAAAGTCGATATTGGTTCCTTCACTGTAGCAGATACGCCTTATTGATGAGTGCGGAGAAGCACTAGAGAATGGGATGCCTGCCAAGTGCATTCAACTATCTAACATATGTCCAACATATTTGTGTCTGAGCTCATTGTAGGATGCAAAAGCAATCAGTTTCCTCCTCCCAATTGCTTTCAATCCCCGATGGTTGCTCTTCCTTCTTTCGGGTAATCGTCCTACTCAAATCGTGTGGCACCATCTAACACTTGACTATTCCTAGATATGTGGTCTTCGCCACTCCTTAAAACCATCCATTAAAAACCCTGTTTTGTTTATCGAAGAGTAACAACAGAATTTTCAACGCCTTGTTGTTAGGCAGCCTACACAAAGTGTCAGTTCAGTATTAACAATATTACTACTCGAATATTAGTCATTTTATTGCTATTATTTCAGTGGGAACAAGCCTTTCAGAAGTTCATACTTTTCCACTCACTCACTCACCATTCAGCGAAACTACACTCGTGCTGAATTCACGCTACTTCCTCCTGTTGTCGTATTATGTGTACAATGTTCATTGGCGTCATATCAAATACTTGTTTTGTTTTCAGTATTTTCTGTTTTCATATCTCATCTACTTCCGGATAAATTTGCCAGCTAATTAATTGTTCAGAATCGAAAATTACTGACTTTGTCTCACTTCCTGTCTATCATAGTGAATAATTGTTTTGCCTCGTTACTTAAACATTTCATTCATTTTATTTTGACTGACATAAAGTTTGAAGATACAATGTCCAAACAGCCGTTCATATATACATTATTGCATATTATTGTTCCGTTGTATTCCGAGTGGAACAACTCATCTCCATGTCGTCTTCTTATCTGCAGTCATCTTTAACTGGCTCCGCAACTGCCCATTAGCTCTCATCTCCTCCAACTCACACAATCTCCTTCATGTCACCCATTGACCGTGCCCAACTCGCAGTTTCTCATTCGTGTTCCACTCGAGCGATTACCTGGAGAGCCATGTTATCCAATGTTATCTCCATTATTTGTCTGATGCATCTCGACTCCACTCAGAATTCATCTTTGGCAATAGTATCTCGGTTAGTTCACTTTCCTGAGTTCCTTTTTTATAATACATTCTGGCCAGCTGGTCATCTGTTCTGCAGCTTGAAGCCGATGAAGGCATATGTCGATTACAGTCTGCAGTCAATGCCGACTCCCTACAGTTGAAACGATGCTTCCTAGGTGAGTGAAACAATAAATGACCTCTTTCGAATTTCTTCGGTCGACAGTGATTACTTATTGTTGATACTTATGTTAGTCGGCTGGTTGATTATCTTCGTCACCTCCATCTTCTCTATGTTTACTTGAGGTCATGTCTTTACAGTCTGTATTTCAAGCCAGTTTGTTGGTTTTCGCCTGTAAGTCTTTGAGTTTGCGTTACAGTAGAGATAAATCATGCGCAAAGTCCAGTTCTCCTGGAGTTTTCCTATTGGTTCGATGTATTCATGTCTTCTTACTCACCATTCTTCTTCTCGCTCACCACCGAAAGACTTCCGTATAAACCAGTCCGTCACAAGTAGGAAAGTCATGAGTGATAGTGGGCTGTAAGCCTTATCTTACTCACAAAGACAATATCAGTAATCTACAGAGTGAAGAAGAAACAACCTGATGATAAATGCTTTCATCTTCTTTGCGTTACTGAATCAGTAAGAGAAACCTGAGTTATGCATACAAAAGGGAATTATTCGACCAACTACATATGCACCAAACGTTTAAACTCAACTGATCGAACTAGTGGTAGTAATAATAGTAGTACGAGTGAGATTCAGTTCGCATCGTAGTCAGACAGTACACTGATGTCATGAATATAGTTAATTTGTATTTTTCTATGAATGAAATCAGAGAAACATTTTCGTTTCCAATGACATTTACGGAAAGCATATCACATTTCAAGGAATGACCAATTTTTTTCAAAATGATTAGATGTGACCTCTCCGTATGTACGTAGTGGTATCAGGTAATAATTTGACCCACTGTA